CGTGCCTCTCCCTGCTTGGCTGCCCTGGTCCTCACGGAGGGCTCTGCCCAGGGATTTGGGGCTTGCTGGGTGCCCCCCTGCACCTGCCAGGGCGGGGGGTCCAAGGTCCACTGCTGCCCTATTTTCCCTGTTTGTCCTTTGCAGACCCTCCTGAGTGAATGTGTCGCTCCTCACATGGATGACCTGGGCACCGTCTCTGCGTCTGCCCCAGCCCCTGCCGCCTACCTGTGCAAGATGTTCAGGTGAGGAGCGGTCGTGTGGGAGAGGCTGTCCCCGTGGGTCTGGCTGAACTCTGAGCTCAGCCCACACTCTGGGTTGGTCCCTGCCAGCGTGACCAGCTCCTCTCTCCTCTGCAGATCGGTGGAGGAGGGCCTGACATATCGTTTCCACGCGGCGTGGGACGAGGTGCTGCGGGTGCTGGAGGTCTTCTTTGAGACGTGTGGGAAGCAGTGCCACCCCATCATGAGGAAGGTGAGCCAGGCTGAGAGGGTGTCAGGCTGATCCATGGAGGCATGGGGTAGCCATGCTGCTGCCTGGCCTGCGTTGCCCTCTCCAGCTGCTAAGCGGGGCCGTCCCAGTGCCCTGTGCGTGGGCAAGGTCTGGGCAGCTCTGGAACTCGGCGTGGGGACATGCAGGGCAGCTGGCATCCCTGGGCAGGAATAGCAAGTGACACATGCTGGACCTGCCTCCATGGCTCCTCTGTGACCATCCTGCTCTGTCCCCGCAGTGTCTCCGGTCCCTGTGTGACCTACGTCTCTCCCCACACTTCCCCTACACCGCTGAAGTGGACCAGGCAGTGGGGGCTGCTGTGGGTGCCATGGGCCCCGAGGTGCTGCTGGAAGCCGTGCCCCTGGAGATCGACGGCAAGGAGTGAGTACAGCTGTGGAGTAGCGGGTTCTGCGCCCACTCCCAGCAGCGGAGGACACCGGTCTCCAGCTGAGAACCCCTTTTTCTCTTGCACCTTTCTCATTTGCACCTTCTCTGACCTCTGACCAGTGCTCCCAGCACCCTTAGCGGAGTGCTATCCCTTTGCTTTCTTCGGCTTCGTTTCTCCCCAGTTCTTGTACTGGGAGATGACCAGCTGCCAGTCTGTCCTTGATGGTGGCAATTTTGCAGCTGTTTTGTTACATTCCTGTTCAGTCTCCACGCGGTGCTGGAGGTGTTTGGCTCTGCAGAGCCTCCCGGTGCCCAGCTTTGGGGCTGGGCGGAGGTGCCCCGTGCCCAGGGGCTGATGCCAGCAGTGCCCTGCGCTCCCCTGACCCATGCCTTCCCTCCCCAGGGAGACGCTGGATTTCCCCCGCAGCTGGCTCCTGCCAGTGCTGCGGGACTACGTGCAGGGCGCACGGCTCAGCTTCTTCACCAGCTACTTCTTGCCCTTGGCAGCTGCCCTGAAAAGCAGAGGTGAGGAGGGTGGCATGGCAGGAGTCCCAGCGGGTGCGGTCCTGGGCTCCTGGGAGCCCCAGGGTGCTCCATGGGACCACCTCCCTTCCCTCCCCTGGGGTGGAGCAGGGCTTTGCCACCTCTGCTGCTCTGCTCATCTTCCCCTTCTCTTCTGCAGCTGTGGAGTTTACCCAGGCTGGGCAGAGCGTGGAGGCCATATGCCAGGCGGCAGTGGCAGGTAACAAGGAGTGCCGGGGAGCCCTGCCGTGGCGTATCTGCGGTGCCAGGCCAGGGAGCGGTAACTCGGGCAAAGAGTGCTGGCTTCCCACCTCTCCCTTTGCCTTCCAGGTCTGGACCCTGCTGCCTGGCTTCTGCACCCACCCCACGGATGTGCTGGGGGCCTTCAAGGGACTGGCCCGCACCCTGGGCATGGCCATCAGCGAGCGCCCGGACCGGGAGCCCTGCCGTGGCGTATCTGCGGTGCCAGGCCAGGGAGCGGTAACTCGGGCAAAGAGTGCTGGCTTCCCACCTCTCCCTTTGCCTTCCAGGTCTGGACCCTGCTGCCTGGCTTCTGCACCCACCCCACGGATGTGCTGGGGGCCTTCAAGGGACTGGCCCGCACCCTGGGCATGGCCATCAGCGAGCGCCCGGACCTGCGCCCCACCGTGTGCCAGGCCTTGCGCACCCTCATCCACAAAGGATGCGAGACAGGTTGTGACAGATTCTCGTGATAAGTCCCTGTCCACTGCGGTAACCTGGAGAAGGGAGATGCTGATCCACACCCCTTTGTCATCCTCTCCCTAGATGTGGAGCGGGCAGAAGTGGGTCGCTTTGCCAAAAATTTCTTGCCCATCCTATTCAACGTGTACAGCCAGCCTGAGGAGGACGGGGGCAGCAGTGCTCAGCGCCGCTCTGTGCTGGACACTGTCCGTGCTTACCTGACCATCACCGAGCCCCAGGTGAGGGGAGCCTGGGGCAGTGGGGCAGGCTCTGCTGGCTCGGGCCAGCATCTCCCAACTGGACCCAGTTTGATGGGGCTATGGTAGGTGTCTGACTGGAGAGGACAGGAAGAGAGAAGCTGGGCAGAGAGCAGCCCTTCCCTGCCCTCGTGGGGAGGGAGCCCTTCCCAGCCAGCAGTCTGGGATTTCCTAATCTTGCAGCCACACCTGGTGCATCATGCGTGAGCCCTTTGGGAATTTGCTCAGCTCTTTTTGGACCCGCTGGTGCTTCTGGTCTCCATAAAGTCCTGTGGCAAGCCGTTTGCCAGGTGGATTGCAAACTCCTGAAGAAGCGCTCCCTTCAGTCAGTTCTGATCCTGCTCTGTGTGCCTGCCTTGCAGATGGTGTGCGGGTTCCTGCAGAAAGCCAGCGAGAAGCTGACCAGTCCCGAGAGCTCCGAGTTTGCCAGGTAATACACAGGGGCTGGTGGTAATGGGTAAAGCTGCCAGCTTCCTCCTGGTGAGCTGCACTAGGGCGCTCATACTGTCCTGTGTGGGATGTGCTACTCTCATGCATCCGATAAGACTCGCAGACAGAGTCCCAGCTTGGTGGAGCAGTGTTAGTAATGCTGCAGTTACCCACCTGCATGTCCTTCTCTGCTGCAGACTCTCCATCCTGGACCTGGTGGTGGCAATGGCACCCTACGCTGATGAGCAGTCCCTGGGCTCCCTGTACTGCACCATCCAGCCTTCCCTCCAGGTTAGTTGGCCCCCAGCCCCAACAGGCGCAGGGGGTGCAGTGGGGCACCTTCTGCTTGCTGCCAGCTTGGACCCATGCTCTGTGGGGCTGAGCAGCTGCTATAGGGGACAGGTCTCTGCTGGGTGGTGTGGGGTGCTGTGAGGATCCCTTCAGACACCGTGGCGAGGGGCTGCCCTGACTGCGGGGGTGTGTTGGCTGTCCCTGCAGAGCAAGGAGCACAGCATGCAGAAGAAGGCGTACCGCGTGCTGGAGGAGGTGTGTGCCGCTCCCCATGCCCCCTGCCAGGCCTTCATCCGCTCCCACCTGCAGGATCTGCAGGCAGCGCTGCTGGACTCGCTCAAGAGTGCGGCATCCCCAGCCAAAAGGGTGAGAGCAAGGGCTGCGGCAGCCAAGCCCGGCCCCTGCCAGGAGGGGACGGGGTGGAGGCAGCCAGGGGTGCGTCCCTGGGTGTACCAGTGCTGGGCTGTTTCTTTCCCCAGCCCCGGCTGAAGTGCCTGTTCCATATCGTGAAGCAGCTCTCCGCAGAGCACGAGCCTTTTGTCACCGCCCTGGTCCCAGAGGTGAGCACGGTCCCCAGGGGGACCCAGCTGATTCTGGCTGTGGAGGGGACAGCAGGGTTGTGACATACCCGTGTGCCTCCAGGTCATCCTCTGCACCAAGGAGGTGTCAGTGGGTGCCCGCAAGAACGCCTTCATGCTGCTCGTGGAGATGGGGCATGCCTTCATCCGCTTCGGGCCCACCCCCCAAGGTGAGTTCCTGCTCTGCTTACTCAGCCCTACGGCTGCTCCAGGCCCAGGGGGATCGGACCCATGCCTGGCACCCCTCTGAAACGGGCCAGGGATGCTGCTGGGCAGGGGGCGAGTGGGGGCCTGAGTCATTCCCCTCCTGCAGAGGCCATGCAGCGGTTCCTGCTCCTGGTCTACGTGGGGCTCACAGGCTCGGTCACCATGATCAGCTGCACGGTGCGGGCGCTGACCCGCCTGTTCTTCGAGTTCAAGGGTGAGTGGGAGCAGGGGGGATGGGGGCAGCACAGGGGGACGAGGCAGCACCCTCCGGTGAAGGCGGGTGCTGGGAGGAGGCCGGCTGTGGCTGAGCCCTGCTGCGGTTGCAGATCACATGGAGCTGAGTGTGGTGGAGCAGCTCCTGCAGAACGTCTGCCTGCTGCTGGCCTCCCGCACGCGGGACGTGGTGAAGGCGGCCCTGGGCTTCCTCAAAGTCACACTGCTGCTGGTGGACACCAAGCTGCTGGCCAAGCACGTCCAGGCGATGGTGAGATCCCGTGCGGGGTGCCCCGAGGAGGGTGGCGGGGCAGAGCTGGGGCTGCCCTGGGCAGCTGGGGGCATCTCCAGCTGCACCCTACTTCTGCCCAGGAGCCAGGGGCACAATTTTGATCTCAGTGGCTGAGAAGGCAGTGAGGAGGTCCCTCTCCTGAATGCTGGCATGGGCCTGCCAGAGAATGCCTGTGAACCGGGCCTGCCAAGCAGGGAGACCTCCCCACGGTCCTGCCTGGGGCAGGCGGGGGGAGACGGCAGCAGGGTGAACAAGGTGGCTGTGCAAGGGAAGGGTGGGAGGCTGGGTGCCCAGGGCAGGGGTGCTTTGGTCTTGAGGGTCTCTGTCCTGGCAGCTGGAGGCCGTGGGGAACCTTTCAGATGACATGAGACGCCACTTCCGTATGAAGCTCCGAAACCTCTTCACCAAGTTCATCCGCAAGTTCGGGTGAGCCTGGGTCACACTGGAGCTGCGCTGGGGCAGCGAGGGAGCTCCCTGGGAAGCGGTGCGGGAGGAGGTGGGCAGTGACCGCTCTCTGTGCGCTCTTCAGCTTCGAGCTGGTGAAGGGGCTGCTGCCAGACGAGTACCACAAGGTGCTGGTGAATATCCGCAAGGCAGAAGCTCGGAGCCGCAAGCAGCGTGCCCTGAGACAGGCGGCTGCAGATACGGATGAAGAGGAGGCACCACCGGCACAGCCCAGGGGAGACAGGTAAAGATGGGCCGGGGTGAAGAAGGAGCAGCCCCGTTGGATCTGGGGATGGGGACATCTCCAGCACTGGGGTTGCTGTGCGCTGTGGGGCAGGCTGGGGTCTGCACCCCTGGGCTTACTCCATTTCCATCATCCTCTCTGCCTTTTGACCAGCATGGAGGAGATCCTGGCTGACTCAGAGGATGAGGAGGAGGAAGAGGAGAAACGGCAGCAGAGCAAGGAGTGGAGGAAGCAAGCACGGCAGAAGGGCCAGGCCTGGCTGAAGGAAGGGGAAGAAGATGAGCCCCTCAACTTCCTGGACCCCAACGTGTCCCAGCGGGTGCTGGGTGAGGAGCGGATCTTTGGATGTGGCTGGGG